GCCTGGGAGAGGTTAGTAAGATCGATTAAAATTGCGTTGACCGCTACGCTTAAGGAGAAGAGCCCACGAGAGGAGGTTCTACATACGTTACTTTTAGAAGCAGAGCATACGGTAAATTCCAGACCTCTGGTAACATTCAGTATGGATAGTCCTGAAGAGGGCTTGACACCCAATCATTTTCTTCTGGGACGCTCATGTGGTGATCGACCACCTGGATTATTTTTAGAGCGACATCTGACGGGTCAACTCAATTGGAAAGCTGCACAGAGGTTAGCCGACCATTTTTGGACAAGATGGCTGAAAGAATACATGCCTACGTTAATACCTCGAACAGGTGATAACGGCAAGTTCATGGAACCTAAAGAAGGCGATATTGTTTTGATAATAGATCATTCGTTGCCACGAAATACGTGGCCAAAAGGTAAAATTAGTAGAACGTTACCGGGACCAGACGGTCACACCAGAGTGGTTGACGTCATTACTAGCACAGGTATCTTGAGGAGACCTACATCCAGAATAATAGTCCTGGTACCCGCGACGCCTCCCAAATGATGGTGCTAACGCACGGGGGAGATTGTTGGCGACGCGCCTATAAAATGTTTCAGTTTATTAAATCAACCGATGACGTTGCTATGAAAAAAGGGGCAGTCACGAGCAACGACGCTCTGATAAGAGAATGCTTAGTTAAATCTTTAAGAAATGTCGAATTAATGATATGAAGGTCTTGGGTTCGACTCCCAGGCCGGACTAGTTTGTTTGTTTTCCTAAGTAATATCGCTTAATAAATTCGTAAGGAATTTAAGATATAAATTATGTTACCGGATTTGTTCCCCGGTTGAAATCATCTTTCAAATGATGTAAATTCATAAGAATATTAAAGTGAAGTTAAAGATCGGATTTGTTCCCCGGTCGAGATAATCACTCTGTGCATAGGCAGAATTAATGGATATTAATTGCATAAATGTTGTTTTGTATAAGTTTGATACGTTTTGTACGAAAACAAATGCCTATTTGTTATGATTGATTAATGAGAACATTCATTTATATTGTTATCTGATTAAAGATAGTTTCATACAGTTCGAAAATTGTATAAAAGCATTTAATTTGCCTAATGTGGTCAAAATTGGTGTATTTCATAATTTAATTTTTTCTGATAGCCGAGAGCCGTGCAAAGTTAGTTGTTCACATAGCGTGAGTACACGGAAGCACGCTGGCCACGCCCTTAGGAGGCCGAATATGTAAAAATTTAAAATGTTTGTAATTCAGTGATTTATGTAAAAATTACTTGTAAAATATTTCAGGTTGATTGTACGTGCTAAAAAGGTGAATTCTGTGTTATTTTCATGTGAAACTTCCTGTGTATAAGTGAAATAATGATAGTTTTGTATAAGAAATTTAAAAGTGTTTTAAATAGTGAAATAAATAGAAAAAATGTAAATTAAACTATTGTATTGGTTAGCTTATGTATAAATTCAAGTGAGAAACATTGTTTTAACTTTCTGTGTTAAATATTTAAGAAATTTCGATTTCGAACTTGTGAGTAAAATAGGCAGTTTTCGTTTAATAAATAAAAGGTTTTTTATGATATGAAGATATGATGTATATCATGGTGTAGATATTGTTTTGTACTACCTATATTGATAAATTGTATTTGTATATGATTTGAATAAATAAAGATATTGAGTGAAACGTGAGAGAGTAATAGAACAAATTCATGTAATTGAGTTGCGCAAGCGCGCAAATGGCGCGGCTCACTTTCGCGTATAGCTCTGGGGTAGCTTAGTGAACGGGTTTTATTGCAATTCGTTCGGGGATCTTACCAGCAGTCAATAAGAAGAAGAAAGAAAAAGTGTAGGGAAGTGATAGGGAAAAGTGATTACTCTCTCACGGAACGGTTTGAAGATAATTGCTGTTTCATTCCCAAGTAATTCATCCCTTAAGTTATACAGTCCACATCGAAGAATTAAGGCGTCGGGACCGGGACGACTTCGGAAGACCCGTAATCCCCGTCTGAACCTACTTGCTGAAAAGGAAGAGGTTATCGCCCTTGTGTGTTACTCCGTTGCGGAGATCACATACGTTGTTCCCGAACCCAACGTAGGCGTTATAGGAGGCCGGATCGAGAGAAGCCTCGATTCCTGTTTCTTAGTACCCGATCCGCTAGGTCCCTTTCAATTGGTCCTTTTCAGGATCAAGAGGGAAATCCGACCTGGTCCTTTTCAATATTAGTAGCGAAATGAGAGTAATTTTATGAAACATTATTTACACAGACTTCTATTACACTATTTGTCTCTGAATAGTTTTGAAATAATCGTACAACTCGTGTACCTTAAATGCACATTAATATATGGTGTATTTTTTCTAATTGTACCACAAAAATATATCTATCTGTGGTCATACTAAGGTATATATTATTACACACATAATTACAAAAATAATGCTACCTTTTTTGGTTCCAATATACGCGAGCTGTCTAGATGCCTCATCGATAGTATCTGAAATAACACTACGATATCAAGACTCACAGATTTAAAAATATCGGCAACGGTGTAAAGATTATATATATATATATATATATATATATATATATATATATATATATATATATATATATATATATATATATATATATATAAATTCGTGTCACGTTGCTTGTCCGCGATTGACTTCTTAACTACTTTTTTGCGAATTAAAGGATTTTTAATAGGACATGATAAAAGATCGTTTAGAAGGGCAGAACAACGTCTGCCGGGCAAGCTAGTAGATCTATAGATATAGAAAGCAAACGAAATATTTAAAGTAATCAAACTATCATAAGGACAAACAGAAATTATCAAGGAATAATCTATTGTATAGAAATACTAGTAATTAGGTATACAGGGTTATTTTGCAATTAGCGAGCTAATTTGCAGAAATAGTTCAGAATAAATAATATAAGCAATGGTGAAGAATAAATTTTTTTTGTAAATTCGCCACACTGCAGAACGGCTCAGATTTAACCTCCTGGCTATTAGGGAAGGATGGAACCGAATCCCTCAAGAGATCATCAAAATATTGATAAGGTCATTAAAACGGCGAATGCAAGCCGTCATTCGAGCAAAAGGAGGGAATACGTAATATTAAGTTGCAACAATTGGAAATACGTAATCATCATCATCATCATCATTACAGCCTTTCACAAGTCCACTGCTGAACATAGGCCTCCCCCAAGGTATGCCACAAAGTACGGTCCTGAGCAACCTGCATCCATTGACTTCCTGCATGTCTTATCAGGTCGTCACTCCATCTAGTGGGGGGTCGCCCTACACTTCGCCTACCGGTACGAGGCTGCCACTCGAGAACCTTTTTTCCCCAACGGTTGTCGGTTCTTCGAGCTATATGGCCGACCCATTGCCACTTCAGCTTACTAATCCGTTGGGCTATGTCGGTCACTCTGTTTCTACTGCGGATATCCTCATTTCTAAGCTTATCACGCAGAGAAACCCCGAACATAGGCATAAGCAAGATTTTTAAATCAAAATCACACAAAAAATCATTTTGATGTTTTAACTGTGATTAAGTAGGTGTAAATAAACAAGTTAATTAAAACATTTTTGTACTAAATCATTGTCTTTGGTTTTACTTAAGAAAAACGTGGTTTGCGGTAAAAACGCAGGTGGGCTGATTCTTTTGATGACTAGTGTATTGTATATTAATTTCACGTAAGCGTTTTATCGCCTTATCTCTTAACTTTCATGGCTTTTTTATAAAATTGTGTTGAAATAAAAAATGTCAATAACCGATTTTAAATCAAAATTTTAAGACAGAATATAAAGAGTCTCTGACCATCGTAGGGTAAAATTCCAAACCAATAAAGCTTTATTCAAACTTTTAAATATTATGAGATAATCATCAAAACCATTTAGTTTATCAATTATTCATTTGCGAGAAAGAACCTGCATGTGTTTAGATAAAATTACACTCCTGGCATTGTTCTCTACCTGTTCGTCAAAATTTATCACTAGTGGTTTTAGCCTGGGCAGACTGACAGACAAATATTTTATAAATGGTCTTGTCTCAATATCATGCAATTAAACTCATGGCTTAATTAGTTCATAAAAGCCAGTTATTTCATTGATATTACAGACACATATACCTCAATTTAATTTATATGTATATTAGCTAACCAGGCAGATGTTGTTCTGCCATTTCCCCACGACCATTTTTTCTCTAATAAAATCTTAAATTCGCAATAAAAATATCGAGGGTCACCTATCGGGATAAAAACATCATATCTCTCAAGTTGGACCGAACTGCACACAGTGTGCAAAATTTTATTGAAATCAGTTCAGTAGTTAAGTTCATCGCGGGAAAACAACGTGACACGTAATTTTTATATGTAAAGATAGATGTATCGAAATAATTGATGGAATCAGGCGTTACTTTGCGGAAATCCATTATAATAAAGATATTAATAGTTACTTTGCAACCATCCGCTCAATTAAATAAAATGATGTGTCTTACCTAGAAATGATGCGGCTGAGCGCTAAGTCTCAGTAAGTAGTTAGCGGTCAGCCGCCGTAGAGTCTACATCACCTGAAGATGCCTCGTGTAGAGGCGAAACACGTGTCGTATTATCGTCGATGGTGTGTCTTTCCTAGAATAGTGGTGTTGGAAGTAGTGGCGTTGGGAGTAGTGTTGCTGGGATTAGTGGTGACGGGATTAGTGCACGCAATTGAGGGAGGGCGGGAGGTGCTCTTCAAAATAGGTAAGACACATCGTTTTATTTAACTGAGCGGATGGTTGCAAAGTAACTATTAATATCTTTATGTATGAAATAACCATATTGTGTGGCATTCCTCGGGAGTGGCCTATGTTCAGCAGTTGACTTGTAATGGGCTGTGATAATTATGAAGATGATGATCAAATACCCATTACCATGATCATACCAGTATCATTCTAAAAAGAAACAAGTGAGTACAAATAAAGTCATCTAAAGGTAAGGAGCATATTAAACTTACTTTTCAGAGCTACCGTTTGTGACAAATGTTTTGATACGTCTTGAATAAGAGCTAAAAAATATGCATTTTTAATATGGTATATTCACAATATAAACAAACGTTAAGAAAATACATGCGTACTTTTCATTGGAACTTTAAGCTCACTCGGAGTGGAACCCTCCATTTCTTTAGTAAGCTTTTGGTTAATTTCTTCAGATATATCTTTTACTGGCAAATAGGGCGTCAGAAACGGCGCAGATTCTATCCTATAAATATTAAGATTAAACTGTTCTTTTCGTTCTTCATAAGAGACCTACTAAAAATGCCCAAAATAAATCTTACTCCTCAGCTGCGGTTCCATATCTCATTGTATAGTTATTCCTTTTCACAAGTTCTTTTGTTGGGGATTTTTTCATTTTTTCTATCAACAGTTTAAATGCTTTCCCTAAAATTTATAAATTATAAATATATGTGAGTAAAGTGAAATCGCTTTTTATTATCTGCACTCTGCACTAATCATCTGATAGTTTTTACCTCTGTCCCTTGTAAACCCGGATAGATAATTAGCAGACCTTTTTATAACATCTGAAATTAATATAAAAAAAAATATAAAATTAAAGTAGGAATTACCCATTTCAATGGAGTGATTAAAACTTTTTTTACACAAAATCTATAAAATTCTTAACTCGAAAATATTATAGTCATGAATTTTTATGCTTAATAGAAAGTCAGGCAAGTCAAGTGTACTGAATATGGAGACCTCAATAATAAGTTTTGAATACGAGTTCCGGACTTGATTCTAACGCAGCAAAAGACAGTTTGAAATATAAATGTTGCGTTTGGAGAGGATACGACTAATGAACCCATTGTGCGTTTTGGTTTATTTGATTTCGTAGTGTAACCTTGGATTTGACGAATAAACTACGAGGAAGGCCAAAAACTAAGGTAAATAGCAATGAACTAAAATATATGATAAGACTGGTGGAAGCCGATCCTGTTCATGTTATCATGATCATGTTATGTTGATCATGTTAAAAAAAGAAGTAAAATAAAAATTGACAATTTTGCGTCATGGCTTAACGTTAGTTTACCCACAACATTAGTTGCATCAAATTGGCAAAATAAAAAATAAAACCTCCAGAACGATCCTTATAAATTAGCTGATTGCTTTGCCTTGTTGAATAGGTATTGAAATGAAGGGCTTTTTGGAACGGAATTGTGACGTATAATGAAAAGTGGACATTAGTAAAAACATGCAATGGCTGAACCCAAATTAAATACAATGTTTTTACGATTTGCTTTAAGAAAAACTCTCACCTATAGAAAAGTAATGGTAATTTAAGTGGTTACCTCACAGTCAAATTTACTATATCTTTTTGAGGTCAATAATGGCGAACTCTTAGAGAAACAACCCACGCAAGACCTTACACTGCTTGACAAACTGTACCACATCATCGGTACTAGATAGATTCATCAACTTTTGTTATCGGGAAACGGTACATAAGTTTGTTTAGTTCGGATCCCCAATGTTCTATCACGAAGGCATAAATAATTCTGTCTCCAGAAAGGCAGAAATGTATAGATAATGAGGGTATTTAAATTGATTAAATAAATATTTTTTTTCTTAGAAGAAAAGGTGTTTAAATTTTTTAATCTAAAACAGAATTTTCATACTTGCTAATGTACATATACATACATACATAACCACTCACACCTGTCACCCGGAGGGGTGGGCAGAGACTACAGACTTTATTTAGCACAATCCTGACACACTCTCTCGCCTCTCCCAAACACCATACGCTCGTCGGTTAAGGGTACTCTTAATGTGGCCCCTTTTCAATAGATCGCCAATTTGGTCGACAAACTTTCGCCTAGGGCGTCCCTTACCGACTCTTCCGTTCATTTCTGCAACATAAATTTGCTTTGTCACTCTTTCCTCATTCATTCTTTTTACATGTCCAAACCACCGAAGCATTCCTCTTTTAATCCTCGTCACAACATCATCTTGAATACGACACTCTTCTCTTATTACACAATTTCTCACCCTGTCACTCAGATTCAGTCCTAACATACTCCTTAACGACAACATTTCTACTGTGTTTATTCTACTAATGTAGTTTTTCGAAAACGGCTTAAAAGAATTGAATGAATTTTCGTAAATGGATAATGTTTTACTTTCCAAGTTATCTAGACAGGTGCCACAAAGTTTAATATAATATATTATTATAAATAAATTAATGTATTATAATTTTCGGTCGAAGAGTAAAGCTGGGTCACCGTATTTGAGTCCTGAGTCAGGTCAAAATTATTGGGTTTGGAATTCTCAGAAGCAGCCGGAGTCAGGAAATTAGGGGTGTTTCACCCCAGTGCTTCGGAAATCATGTAAAGTCGTTGCGTCTGACTATCGTCTCATCGGACTATTAGAGTGAGGGAATAGAGAGTGCACCTGTGCCTGCACATACACTTGGGCACTATAATCATCTGTGCGCAGATGGCTAGGCCACCATGACCGAAATTCGGTATGGAGGCCATTTTTTTAATTATTATTTTAAGTATGGCAATAACGTGTATAACAACAATAATACTGAGTTTGATTTGTTAAAAATAGCGATGCGCCCTTTGTTTGCTTGCTAAAATAATACTGCAAAATATTATAGATGTCCCTTAGAATTTAGAGAGCGTCATTGATGTGTAGCATTCCTATCGCGAATCACACCTATATAGCAGACAGTCTTAACGAAAAAACTAACAATAAATGGAATAAAATAATGATAATAATAGTAATGATGCCCTTATGACCGAATTAACTAACAATTAGTCTAGTTCAGGGCCTAGGGCTCAGTCAGAACCTATGTATAATTTTTATTTGATCTATTAAAAGCAAAATCTTATTTAAAGTATTATCAACTTCGCTAGAAATTTTAGAGAATTATTATACACCTTATCATCAAATTATTTACATTTCGGCATTCAGTATAAAGACATACCATCCATTTCTTTTTTTTGAATTTCTGGTGTTACTAAATCGACAGCTTTGTGGAGTGCTTCTTTGAATACAGGCACAGTTTCTTCATTAGGTTTCACACTAGTCAAGCCCGGTGCTGTACGTAACCTTAAAAATAAAGCAATTTTGTATATTGGGGAATTTGTTGAACGTGGTAGAGCCATGCTGCAGGTTTATTAGTAGTATAGTAGTAGCACTAATGGCTCGGCTCGACCGGGGAAAAGACCAAGCTCTCACAGAATACCAGTGTAAAATAGTAGATTAATGCTGCTGTGTTTATGGTGAGTGTAGAGAACCGGAGAGTAATTTTATACCGGTTTAGTAATCAACTTGTGAAAGACTGTAATGATGATGATGATGAAGTACAAATTTATTCGATCATGGTTTCAGAAATCCGATGCAATACTATGTATGTATATATATATATACATACATAGTTTTGCTTTTGAGCCATAAATATACATAGTTTTCTTCATAAAAGTGTAAGGATATGTGATTTTTTTATAAATAACTTGATATCTTAGGCACCTCAAAGTGTATTTACGTAGGTAAAGCACCTAAAATGAATAAATAATATTCATAACAATTAAAAATAAGATATAAACACTAACACATGTGCAGCAGCATAATTAGTTCCAAGAACAGGGAATTGTGTTGTAAATGGTTTTTCGCCATTGTCATCGAGGGATTTGATGAGAATGTCGAAAGCAGGTCCACGTTCCGCTGTAAAAAGACTTTGGTAAACACAACATATCGATAACATTTTTCGATAAATTAAAAGTTTACTTACATTTATCGACAGCGCTTTGAGATAGATATTTAGAGCAAACGTCAAGGGTTTCTGTGCATTTGAAACAAGTAAAAATTTTAATGATTATAAATTACTGATTATGAAAAACTTATATACTTGACAGGTATACTTAAATATGATTTGCACCCACCGGCCATATCTGATTTCGACTCAGAACTTGTTGCACTATCAACTAACTTAGAAAGCTTTAAATGGATTTCTTGTGATAGATCCGAGTCGTCATGGTCGCTTTCCAAGCTTCGTGCTTGACTTAGTCTATAATATCGGCAAATTTATTTAAAACTTTCAAACATATATAGTAATATGAAAAACGAAGAAAAAATGTTAATATATTACTCCGCGGCAGCTTCTCCGTAATTTTCTTTAAGCTTTCCTCTTTCATAAAGCAACTTGTTTGGTTGCTTACGCATGGCGGTTACTAATAATTTAAAGGCAGGTCCTTTATCCTCTGAAAACATACATGGACTCACTTAGTAATAACCGGCCAAATTTTGCAGAGAAGTTTCAGTATAAATAATATAGGCAAATGGCGAAGAAAAATTAATAAAAAAATCTCAAACTTGATCCTTTTTTCTTTTTAATTATAAATGCGTGGTAATGTATTTTAACTGATTTTACTGCGTCCACACACATTCGTAAGGATCGATTGTTAGTCAAAAACGTTGTTGCTCATAAATCACATTAAATTTGAGATGATTTAAAAGTAGAAGCCTTATTTACTCGTGTTTTCAAAAACTGCAATAACGGTATATCGTTATTTATATATTTGAACTTAAGTTTAAAACTTGGCTACTCTTCGAAAAATAACCCTGTATACATACAATTATCGCTAAATGATTATCACTAAATGACTTTTTTGCGTGCATTGACATGAATAGCAAATTATAACAGAACGTAACTTACTAGTCCAATTTGCATATAGGTTTATTCAATAGTGCTTATTCTCCATCTTTATCTCAGTAGTATTTCTTATATTTATGCGAAAACAACAACAATAAATAAAAGCAATGTAGCAGATTTTATCACGTTTAAATTAAAAATTGAGCTAAACTAACACGATAAAATTTTTAAAATAATAAATAACTACCTGTTCCTCGCGACTTCACCCGCGTGAAATTTACTACGATTGGATTTCATGAGTGTAATTTTTGCGCGGAATCCTAATTATTTTTCTAAAATAAAAGTAGCGTTAGTTACTTTTTATAACATCAACTACTTGCCAATGAAAATCACTTTAAACACGTTCCAGCTATTTTGGTGATTAGCCGGAACAAACAGACAAACAGACAGACCGACAGACAGTCAGACAATAATTTTTAAAATAGTTTTTTTTTTAAATAAATAACGTAATACGTCAATATACGAGGGGCGTTCAATGTATTCTCGATATGGGTATGTTAGAAAGAAGATAAAATTATGAAATATTTTTTATTTTTCAATATAGTCTCCCATCATCAATACATTTACTTGTACGTAAAAAGGTTTTTCTTTTCCTTTGTAAAATATTCTTTGTCGTGGTCTGAAAAATGCTCAATTACTGCGGACTTGAGCTCATTATCATCAGCCAATCGCTTTCCCCGAAGGTCTTCTTTTAAGATTGGGAATAAAAAGTATTTATAAGGGACTAGATCTGGGCTGTATGGTAGGTGGTTAAAAATTTTCCTCAAACCCGCAGTTTCGTACAGCAGCCTTGAAGAGCCGCACCGTGTGAACCGGCGCATTGTCATGAAGCAGCACTCCTTTGATCGGCTTTCCTCTTCTCCGTTCTTTTATTGCTTCTCTTAAATGGCTTACAGTGTCTGAGTATTTGTCTGCGTTGATGGTTTCACCTTTTTTGTGTACCCGATTAATAGTAAATTTTTGCACACATGCACATCATCCACAAATCGTGGCTATTTCCAATTCCCAAAACACTGTGGCCATGATTTTACCAACCGATGGAGCGACTGCCATTATTTACTCTCAGGGTCACAGTGGTGAGCCTACGTTTCATCTCCTATAACTATCCTAACGAAAGCACTTGTTGGGTCGTCACCACACAGCTCTAAAACTCCCTATAAGAGTCAACCCGCGCCTACTTTTGAAGCGCAGTGAGCATTCGCGCCACCTATCTTGCACTGACTTTTGTGAAGTTGAGATAGTCATGCAATATGGTGTGTATGGTGTACCAATGGATAGGTCATTTTTGATAACATCTTAATTCTTACTCGTGCATCCCCAAATACAAGTTTTTCAATAATTTTCCCATTTTCTTCTGTAGCCGCTGTGATTGGCCCACCGGGTGAGGGTCATCTTCGATGCTTTCCCTGCCTCTTTTGAACTGACTCGACCACTTCTGTACGGTTGACTTTGAAGGAGATGAGTTTTGGTGAGCGGCCATCATTTGTTCATGGATGTTTTTTTTTGAGTTTTTCCTTGTCTTATGAGGAATTTAATGATCGCACGGTGTGCAATTTTTTTAAACATTGACAAGTCAGACATTCTTGTCATTTCCGTCGTCTATGACTGAAGGTTACATAAAAAATAATAAGTTATCAAAATTTCATATTTATACCCTCAGGTAGCATTGTTGTCTAATGATATTTGTTACTTACCCCCTAATACAGATAATACACTCAACACCCGTCGTACTTCCATATTCCTGTTATTTCGACATTACAAACAGACAATTTTATTTATTTTTATAAATAAGCGTAGCAACTATAAAAACATCCCCCAAACAACGCTAATTCCCAACAGAAACTGTAAGAAGTGACCGTCAAGTTGCACTGAGATATTATAGATTGATGAGGCAATATACGATCTTTAGGCTGCAGGTGCTGGTGCTGATGCAGGTGGCTCAGGAATGTGCTTTGTGGCATTCCTTGAGGGAGGCCTATGTTCAACAGTGGGCTATTGAAAGGTTGTATCGGTACGGTTTATAGGTTTATTTGGAATCTGACGAGGGAGAAAAATATTTAATGCCGTCCTCCACATTGGCGCTACTTTCAGACGCGGAGAGTAGAACTGCGGATATGTTGCTCTTCAAGAAAAGTGACAACGTTCAATTGATTAATTACAACTTCCCTTCTGAGCCATGTTTAAGTAGTGTTTTCGTCATTACCAATCGCCTTGCACGCAGAATTGACAACTTCACTCCAACAAGCAGTTTTTCGAAAAGGCTTTATTACCATAGACCACATACCCCTTTTGTACAGTGGACAAATGTAGAATACAATTTGGTACTTTGCCTTGCATATGTGGACTACGAGAAATCCTTTTTTTACGTTACCTTCACACTGGGATTTTCTCCTGTATCGCGGGGGCAGTTAACAAACATAAATTTTACAAGGACAAATATCCAGACCTGGAACAATTACTTGTAGGCCATACAAATACTTGGCTTGGATTCGAATCCACGGCCCTTAGCACTGTAACTCATTGCTAAGCCACTGCGCCACGGAGGCGTCATAATCCTTTGATTCCGAGTACAAAATCAGAGCACAAAACATATTCAACAATAGAGAGGTGTAGACAGAGTAAGGCATAGAATACTGTAATACATACAAAATAGAACGGTCGAGTGGGCTGAACCCGTGTAGCCACTAAAATGTCACTAACGTGTCAATTCACACGTATAACTGTCAGCACACGATGTGTTTTGACGTTACAATCGTTTCCAAATTTCGCTTGCAAATTATTTAGAAAATGCCAAATTGCCCACTATTTACAAATAAATATGTATTTAAATTTAAACGATTTTTAATGATAATCTTGAACATTAACCACTTAGTCTGTCAACACAGCGAATCGGGTTTGTAGTAGTGATAATACGACGTAATTGCTTATATGTGTGCTCCCGGCGACGCCGACACTCGTACAAAATAAGATTGACAGCCATTCTATTGTGTATTATAGTATTCTATGGAGTAAGCTTATATTTCTACAGGTAATTTAATTTTATAAGTTTACTGTTATACTAGTGATAAAATTAAAAAATTTGTATAACTGACGTCAATATAAATAAAATGAGAACATCATCAATATATTCCAAATTAATCAAATACGCATTATTTAAGGATAACTCAAAAACAACTGGCCAGATCTTGACCAAATTTATATGGGACGACACAAGAAGTAAGAGTAAGCTTTCAAATAAAAAAAAGAGTCATCAAAATCGGTTTACACAAAAAGCTCTGAGGTAACACACATAAAAAACAAACAGTCAAATTGTACACCCTCCTTCTTGAAGTCGGTTGAAAATTGGAAAAGCTTTACACAATGTTTTATGAGTAATTCAGTTTGTATAGTTAAGATCATAAATAATATTTCTGTATTGATTATTATATACACTTACTATTTAGAGTAACATGTTGAGCTAAATAATTGGAGCACATATCTACAACATCTGAAAACAAAAATTTTATATATTTACAAATTATCATCTTTAGATCAGATTTTAATAATAAAAATAAAACAAAAATTAAATACTTGCCCTTCATTGCGGTTGCCAAATTAGTGGTCGTATACGGTTTTACAGTGTTAGAGAGTTCATGGTTAATTCTTTGTGCTAAACTACTGTTAATTTCCGTAATATCGAAGTTAGGGGTTTGCTTGAGTCTAAAAATGTTAGGTATTTATTTGAAGAACATATTCTATTATTAAACATTCTTACGGAGGAGAACCAAGTACAGCATATGGGTCAGCTTGACCGGGGATGAATCACGCTTGCACGGAATACGAGTGTTATAGCAGCATAATACTGGAGAACGTTTTAAGTGGCAACGAGGCAGTACAACGCATCTGTATTTTGATTCTTAATCGATTACATATATATATATATATATATATATATATATATATATATATATATATATATAATCGATTTATATTATATATATAGTTCTTAATATAGTATCTATCATTCAGATGTCTACAGACCACAACATCCACCTACCATCAGGTAGACAGTGTAATCATATCTAATCCGTACGCACTTTTATATTTAAAAAAAAATATAAATTTCTTACGTATCCGCCGCTTGTGCATATGTTTGACGAAATTTTCCATACTCAATCAACGTTTTCTCACCTTTCTTGTACATAGCATTGGTTAAGATAGTGAAAGCTTCCAGCATATCACCTAGACAGAGCAAGATCTTTTAAATTTAAGTCACCTTTTAAGGCAAGATTGATCAATCGTTAGATAAAACTATCCATCAAATATATTAAAACCCGACTATGACCCGACCTGACAATGTATGTATCTGTGGAACAAACTGTTACAATCATAATATATTTTATTTGAAATGAAATGAAATGAATGATTTTTATTCTATTTAATGATTGAAAAATCAGCCCTTAATAATTATAAATTATAAATATCAAACAGAATATCAGCTTACCAGTAAATTTCTTATATGCTGGCTGAACTGTAAAAATAATAATTATTAAACTTGGTGTTCGAATGTTGCAAGTGATGCGTAAATTTACTTACCGAATTTGGAAAGGCCACCCTGAAAACAAAAATGGTATTAGGATGTATGAAAGATTTTAATGAAAATTTATATTGTGGAAACTATTATTGTGGTTTATTTATTGTAACCATTCTTCAAGCTTCGAAAGAATTGAACGCAAATAAAGAAAATGTTTGATACATTAATAAAAACTAAAGAAAAATTTAATATTGCATCGAAAACACAAAAACACTGTAAGCAGTTTGTTATCTCGGTCCAACTGACCGAATGACTGTTCAAATATTTCAACTGAAGGATAGGAAAATAAAATACAAAGGTGAAAACTTTTCTTTTTTTATTTATGTTTCAATAACCTTTTGTTTTGTACAGTAAATTTAAAAAGCATGAAAAAATGCCCGTTTATAAATTCATAATTTAATAAAGCACCACCGTCAAGTAGGAGCAGTTGAGAATGGTTTATGCTTTATAATAAGATTAAAGTCTATTTTTAAAGTGTCATTGTATGCAAATCCCTTAATAAAAATAGTTTTATAGATGAACACAACGGCTAGCTTGGAATTCTTGTTATCACTTACACCTTGCATCATGTTCAGAAAGTCATCCGCAAAACCAGCATCTCCCGCGGCATCTGCTACTACGTCTACAAAAGAAATTTATCAGTGTCATGCGTTAAGACATTTTCCATATCATATTTTACAAGTACCCAAGCCTCCATAGGTTTAATGAACAGAGGTAGCAATGGGTTAGCCATATAAATTGCAGATATCAACGGACAGAGGGGGCTTAGGAGCGTGTTTTGTGGCAGTTTTTATTCAGCAAGGAAACAAAGATAGATTTTACTGTAAAAGTTAGAAAAACTGCGTTGTAAAATAGTACACCGTAATTGATTTGTCCACAACTTATTTACGGCCTTGCCGGTACTATCACTAATATGGAAGACCAACTAATGGAAGACGTCGCACTTCCGTCTTCACAATAGCTCTATACATAACGGTACGACGTCTTCCATATGATGTTATGTAAGCTACCTCAAACTATGTACAAGTGACGCGGACGTGCTGCACACGTATTAGATGTGCATCGTCCTTAAACCATCTCTTACCCGCAAACGAATAAATTGAAAGAAATTTAAAGACTTTTTAAAAGATTCAAACAAAATGAATGCTCTGACCGATGTAGGATTGAGAATTGTTTTAATGTATCATGGTGTATTTATATAGCAGAAAGTTATTGTACTTTCACTACACCAAGTCCTTAAAAATAAGATTTTCATCTAAAACATGTTAGAAAACGTACCAGTACTATTTTTGTAAGTCAGCCTTAGACGATTTTGGGGTAGGTTGGGCAGATGGCGTGGTAGTTGCCGAAATAATTGTTTCCGGCGTTCCACCCGACGATGAGACTGGACTTGTAATACGCTCGGGATTAGGACTAATTTCCGATGACGCTGTTCCTTCCGACGGAGGTTCAGATTTTATATCTGGTTTATTATCATCAGCAAAGCTCCTCTCGACTTCTTCTCAAACAAAAAATACTTACATGAAATCCGTGCTTCTTTACAGAAATAAAAAAGAACGTTTGGCTTATAAATTGAATTTCTCCGGTAAATCCAACACCTATCCATTTTAAGCATTTCTTACTTGATCTATTAGATGATATGGGCTGTATCATAAAAATGTTTTAAAAGGCATTATAACTTACTTACTCGTATTTGTTGAGTAGAGCTTTTGGATATTACTGATCTTGCTTTTTTATTAAATAATATTTAAAAAAATCTTACCTTCGTCTTCGTCAAAGTCCATCATTAGCATACGATCGTCAGATTCCGAAATTATTTCATCAATCCAAACAGCAATCTGTTTAACAAATATTTAAGTTTTAAGTTCGTTTGCCATTTTACTTTTTAATGTTATTGGTCTAATTTTATTATTCATCATCATCATCATCATTACAGCCCTTCACAAGTCCACTGCTGAAATATTTACAACGTTGTTGTCCTTGTTGTATCACAATATTTACAAATCCGACACCTCCTTGGGACAGATAGTCGCCCTCCCGGTGATAGAACAAGTTGCCGGATTCGAGGAATACCATATCCTCCCCCTCTCTTTGGTACTCGGATAATCCTATAATATTTAAACAGTCCAACTTATCTATCTTCTCTTCCAGCTCCAGGATCTTCCCGTCAAACCTCAGGGTGCGTGCGTTATATGTTGCCAGGTCGAGTCGTCTTAGGTGGCAATCGAACCTTCACCGGTGATTCTTATCACCCCCGCCCCGCCGTTACCATAGTCGCTACAGTAGCCAGGAATAGCGGGGCCGCCGGAGACTGAGGGCCGTCTTTTCGTTACTATCATCATAGGGGGGTTAACCTTGGCGAGGAATGGCAACACAGTTTATCTTATTTTGTGACATCAGAAAGATGCTTCTGCCCATCTCCTGCCTCAGTTTTCTTACGTTGCCTCTTATGACACCCACGGGGAGATATGAGGTAGTGGATATTCTTACACCGCCACCAAACAGGATATTGCTCAATATTAGGGATGATCTAAAAGCTGTATGAAAATAGTATAATCTAAGTTTAATATATAAATATCCAGAATTGTTTAAACTTCGAAAACGTAGTGAGAGTAGATATTAGTTAATCTTTCTTCGTTCTTTTAAAAAGAAATGGTTAAGGTCATAAACGAGATTTAACAAGCCGATGCAAATGCAATAATTTGACATTTCCTTTGATTTTCAGTTACCTTATCAGACATTTCCAGCATAAAACGTGCTTTGGGACTTGTACTATTCCGAGCTGGGGTCTTCAGACGCATATATCGACAAATATCATGTAATATCAAATCCGACAAACGGAGCATTCTGTCAATAGTTAAAATAAATTAATAAATGTACTTATTAAATGTACTGACACAAAATAATTCTCGCAAAACTACAACTCACCCATCAGCAAGAGTGAAATGTCCTGGCTTCGAGAGACGATGCTGAATACCTCTGGCAAATGCTACCGTTGCGTTCCGAGCCCATAAAAATCGCTTATCATCGCAAATTGCCATCATATCTTTTTTAATTTGATGAATACGTTTCCTGGATGCAATAAAATTCAAGTGTCATTTAAATAATTTACATTAAGATATTAATTTGAAAATCATTTATGTACTTGTTTTTTTTCTTTTTGGTTTTTCTTAGATTCACAAAGTACTCGTACGCTTGATCCGGCTTAAATGGTTCATCAGCATCTAACATAGAACGTAAACGAGCAATCTAAAAACATTGTAATAATTAGAAATTAATTAATGCTAACAACAACATTTACAAGCTGGAAAATCTGAAGAATACCGTCTCTGGAGGTAAAATATTCGCGTGTTCCCTCCAAAGATATATAATGTTTCGACGCCGAGGCTTCGCCATGTACTCAAGACGGTCGGTGAGTATGACACCATGTCGACGCATGCATCTGGAATGAGCCCTGGACGAGCGCTTTGACATTTTTACATCCGTAGCTTTAGGACCCCTTGAATAGTCAAAAACATTTCATTTTTATTTTAACATCTTTTAAAAATAATTATAAGACCTCATACATCGATATAAATACTAAACGGTCTGACCAGGCGTACAGAGCAGTCGTGTTTTACAATTTTTTAGATAAATTCAATTACGCTCAACAATCTAAATTAAAACTTAATTATTCAAGGTTAAGATATAAAGTTAATTGAGTTACCAGTGCATCGATTACGTGATAAATTGCGGAGATTTACTTCTACATCGGCGCATAAGCAAGGTAACCGCTCTTCACCCCCTCGGGGAAAAGAGACAAATTATATTTTATTTGACCTTTCACTCCGTAGCGATCACTGAGCTTAGGCGTGATATACGCTGTGCCACAGATCTATGATGAACGTACTACGCTCGCCTACTGGAAGTGGCCTAAGTGGGTCGGAACCAAATTTGTCCACAACACCTAAGCCTACAGATAAATCAAAGTTTAACATGCGCAATAAGAGAAAGCGTTTTGATGAGTGCGAAGATATCAAGGAAGAATTAAGCGAAATTCGTAAACAAATGTCACAAATGATGTCGATGCTCACAAATTTGAGCATTAGTCAGCAAGAATTTAATAATAAAATGAATAATGATGTCTCAGATATTAAAGAACAGATGGCTAATATAAAAACTAATATTCAGAATCTCACAATAGAGCAAAACACAATAAAATCTGATATCCTAAATATAAAGTCTAATAATAATATTACCAATAAGAACGTTGAAGCATTGCAGTCTGAAGTAAACCTGCTTAAAAATACGTCAGGCAATCTTACAACTCAGCCTGCAGACACTTCTTACGAGTCTATCATATCTGAAATTACTGAACGAAACTCTAGACGTAAGAACATAATCATAGATGGACTACCGGAACCCGTATCGAAAAATAAAGAGGAAAGGAAAGACATCGACACAAAACAAGTAACTAAAATAGTAAAGACGATAGACGAGAGTTTCCAGCCTAAAGTGGTATACCGTCTTGGCAGATATAGCCCCGGCAAAGATCGTCCCATAAAAGTATGTTTTTCGTCTTCAGAGACAGCTTTAACTATGTTACGCAGTAGAAAAAATGAGAATTTAGGCAATCTCAAAATATACGCAGATCACACCCCTCTACAGCAAAAATATTATAAAGACCTTAAAGAAGAAGTAAAGCGCCAATCGATAAATAATAACAATAAAAACTTTATTATAAAATATGTAAGAGGTGTGCCGAAGATCGTAGAAACCTCCTCAAAAAACTAAAATCACATGACACCACTCACCTCCAAACACTTTCGTGCAACATAAACCCAACTACCTATGAAATTGTTAATAGTTACAAAGATATTTCTTCCACCAAAAAGTCTCTACGATTTCTATATGCTAACGTAAGAAGTATAGTGAAACCAGGAAAATTGGATGAACTAAAATGCGTAGTTGAGTCGTTTCAGAATAGGATTCATATAATCATCCTATCAGAGACATGGATAAAGTCAGACGAGGAAGCTATTAGTCTTCAGATTCCCGGCTATATTCACCATTTTAATTACAGGCGTAACATGAGAGGTGGTGGAGTATCTATATTCATTTGCAATAGCCTAAAACACCACGTAACAGAAAATCAGTCCCAAGGTGAAAATCACTACCTATGGATCCATCTTGACCACTATTGTCTTGATATAGGTGCTGTATATCGGAAACCAGACGCCTCAAATTTAAAAAGTTTCTTGGAATTTTATTCCAAGCAATTACATGAAAGAAGCAGAGCCCTTGTATTTGGAGACTTTAACATTGATTTACTGAGTCAACAACAGGCAATCAATAACTACAAGGAAGTGCTAGAAGAGAATGGTCACAATATAATAAATAAAATAGACAAAAAATACTGTACCCGTGAAACAGTTTCAACAAAATCAATAATAGACCATGTTTGCTCAAATCTCAAACGACACAGATTTAATTTCATCATAATCGAAACCCCTATGTCTGACCACAAGCAAATATACTTTGAAATACAGAAATCCCGGCCTGAACCACTGCGAAAAGTTAGATATGAAGCTATTAACTACGAACAACTATGTAAAACTATGGTAAACTGTACAGATATTGGTAATAAATCATATGAAATATTTAAAGAGAAGCTGGATTCTTGCCTCAGCAATAGTAGATTCCCAAAAATAAAAATTCTTAACCCACCTCGCCAAGACTGGATCAATAGGAAAATTTTAGATAGAATAAATAGTCGAAATATAATATGGAACAAATTTAAGAAGAATCCAGAGGACAAATTATTAGAAGAAGCATTCATCAAAGAAAGAAACGAAGTATCAAGAACCATTCATAAAACTAAAACTAAATATTATTTAAAAGCATTCAATGACTGCAAGAGCAACCCTAAAAAGATGTGGAAACTAATAAAAGACCTTTCTAACAACAAAGTAAGAGACCCATCACTACCGAGTAAACTTTTAACAGCGAATGGTTACATAACGGATCAAAATGGTATATGTGAACAATTTAATGACTTTTTTACTAATGTAGGCTTGATCTTAAATAGTCAAATACTAGCAAATCCCCATAATAATTTAACCTATACAAATAAAGCAAACACTGCCAAGTCAATCGCGCTAACACAGTTACAGCCATGTACAATGGAAGAAATTGCTAATTTTATAGATAGCTTAAGCACAAATACTAGCTCCGGATTAGACGGGGTAAATAGCAAATCAATAAAATGTTTGAAACACATCATCCTTCCTGAACTTACTAATTGCATAAATAAAAATCTAGAAAACGGTACTTTCCCTGATAGTTTAAAGATCGCTAAAGTTACACCTATATTTAAATCTGGTACTAAATTGGAACCTGGCAATTACCGCCCAATATCTGTTCTTCCTGTAATGTCTAAAATCTATGAAAAACTTTTATATAAACGTCTTGAAACTTATCTCTCTGCACAAAACTTCTTTTACAAGCAGCAGTATGGTTTCAGACCGAAATCTAACACACTGTCAGCTACAGTAGACCTCATAACTAAAGTGAAACTTAGTATTGATAAAAAACAAATAGCACTAGGAGTCTTCATAGATTTAAAGAAGGCTTTTGATACAATTAGTCACGACCTATTATTAAAAAAACTATTTGATATTGGCATTGCAGGAACCGCTCATGAGATACTCAGATCTTACCTCACAAATCGTCGGCAAGTGGTTAAGATCGGTGAAACACAGAGTGGGCCCAGAGTTGTAACCTGTGGTATACCTCAGGGATCGATTCTGGGGCCTCTTTTGTTTCTTATATATATAAATAATGTAAAAGAACTCGGGCTTAATGGAGACATAACGTTATACGCCGATGATACCGCTCTATTCTACTTTGGTCATTCTATAGACTCTGTTATTAAAGACGCACAAAATGACTTAGATGTTCTAAACACTTGGTTTCAACGCAATCGGCTTACTATAAATATATCAAAAACAAACTATATAATATTTACAGCAAAAAACAAAAAAATATCACACTACACGCCATTGACAATAAATAACCAAATTATAAATAAAGTTAATGAAGAGAAATATCTTGGACTGATATTAGACTCGCACTTAACATGGAAACCACATATTTCTAAAATTAAAACAAAATTAACTTCTCTTTCTGGTGCCATACGGGGGATGGCTGTATGTTTACCGCACCGAGTTCGATATAATATATACAACTCTCTTATAAAACCGCATTTAGAATACTTGACTGAAGTTTGGGGCACCGCTGCGAAAACAAATCTAGAACCACTACAAAGGTCACAAAATAAACTTATTAAAATATTATTTAAATATGATTTCCTTACACCAACAAATCTACTGTATAAACAAACAAAATTATTAAATATTACTCAAACATATATATATAAAACTTGTATATTAATAAGAAAAATATTAAATAAAGATATATATACTCAAATAACATTCAAAAAGAAACAACAAATACAAAAAATTGGACTAAGACGTGCAAACGACCTTTGCCTCCTAACCCCAAGAACTAATTATGGTAAAAAAAACTTAATGTACGAAGGTGCGAAATTGTATAACCAATTACCGAAAAATATCAAAGAAGCAAAATCAATCCCAACATTTAGAAAGCACTTAAAATATTATTTAACTTCTAACCTGAGCGTACATTGATTTCACTATTTTACGCGTCGCTTCTAGCTACACTCGGTCTGTGTAAGGTGCGCGTCCAAGCATTGTTTGCGCCTTTGGCTATGTAAGACTTTAAAAGTACCCTATTTTTTTTTAGTATTTTGTTGCTCTAGGAATAAAAATTGCTAAAACATGTATAATTACAACTGAATGTGCTTGAGTGAAATTGATTCGATATATTAGTGTACGCCTAGGATAAGACTATTATTTTTGTTTGTATTTGTTTTAAAACTTTCTCATATAAGTGAATTATTATTATAAATTCTTATGAGAAATAAAGATATCTCAAACCTCATAAATGACAAGATATGGCCGTGCGAACAAAAATCTTTCACGGTTTTCATATAATGAATTAGCGCCATGTCTTAAATACTCATAAACTACCACGGAACCAGTGTTTCCACTTATGTTTTTGGTTTTACTGTAGAAGATGTATAAATACTCCCTAAATGATCGTAAAAAAATCAAAATCGAACCTTCGCCTGCTAGCCGATAGCCTGATTTATTGCACCTAATTTTCAATATTCTAAAGAACAACATCGTTGCAAGATTTGGATATCATTTCACGATTAAAAATCGTGAGTTTTGTGATTTCATTCATCATCATTCATTCTTCATCAGACGTTCTCATTTTTAAATAACATTTAGTCTCATATGAAATTTCATATGTAACTAAGTAAAGTATTATACCATTATTCTGATATACAGAATGAAAAACTTTTTCATTCTACACTTTTCTCACTCTTTTGACCCTATTTAATAAATCTTTAAAAAATACATTGAATGAGTATAA